GATGTATGGGGAGCAGGTTTTCTTTTAATGTTATTATTTTTTGTTTCTCTTTTCCCATTTTTTCCAGCTCACTTCCATATATTTGCATTCCCAATCAGTTACCCTCTCTTTTGTTTCTTTGGTGGGACTTGTCAATGTTGATTCAAGTCTTTCTATTCTGCTGATTATTTCTGGTGTGCATGCTGTAAATTCTGCTTTTGCAATTCTTATTTCTCTTTTAAACCATTCAGGAACATTTTGCTGAGGTTCCATATTCTCTTAGAAATCCACGGGTTCCTCTGCCCTAATCAAGTGCTTTGTCTCACAATATTTATTTTATTTTTTTTTCATGTTTTTTTCCTTTTATTGTATATCTTCTTTCATGTGACTAACATGGAAATATGTTTTACATGATTGTACATGTACAAATTATATATCAGATTGCTTGCCATCTTGGGGAGAGGGGAGAGGAAGGAGAGAGAAAAACTTAGAACTCAAAAATCCTATAAATATGAATGTCAAAAATTGTCTTTTTATATGTAATTAGAAAAAAAAATAATATTTACGGTTAAAATATTATTTCATGCTAATTCCTCTCATAAACCCTACATTCCAGCAAACAGTACTACTAGCCCTTCTTCAAGCCCTGCATCCTATGTCCTCACTCTGTATGTTCACATAAACTATTCCCATGTTTAGAATCCAGGCCCTCCTCCTCGACAGTATCTCTTACAATCCTAATCTTTCTTCATTGTTCAACTTGGGTGCCATCTCTTCTGTGAAGGTTTCCCCAGTTCCTGTAGTTGCTAGTGTTTTCTCCTTTCTCAGTGCCCCATGTATTACCTTTATTCGTGTACGGATTTTATCTGCTCTTCCCTCCAACCCACAAGAGAACATAAACTCATTGAACACAGAGATTATTTTCTTTTTTTTTTAATTAATAAATTTATTTATTTTTAGTTTTCAACATTTACTTCCACAAGATTTTGAGTTACAAATCTTCACCCCATCTCACCCCTCCCCCACCCCAAGACGGCATGCATTCTAAATACCCCTTCCCCTAGTCTCCCTTCCCTTCTATCTCTCCTCCCCTTCTCTTATCCGCTGCCCCTTCAGTTTTCCTGTAGGGCAGGATAGATTTCTGTACCCTATTTCCTGTATTTCTTATTTCCCAATTGCATGTGAAAACAATTTTTGTTTTAAACATGTGTTTTTAAAACTTTGGGTTCCAGGGGCAGCTAGGTGGCGCAGTGGATAGAGCACTGGCCCTGAAGTGAGGAGGACCTGAGTTCAAATCCCGCCTCAGACCAAACACTTGACACTTACTAGCTGTGTGACCCTGGGCAAGTCACTTAACCCCAATTGCCTAAGCAAAAAACAAAAACAAAAAAAAAAAACTTTGGGTTCCAAATTTTCTCCCTTCTTCCCTCCCCACCCACCCTCATTGAAAAGGCAAGCAACTCAATATAGGTTATACGTGTGCAGTCAAGCAGAACACCTCCATAGTAGACATGCTGTGAAAAACTAACTCTATTTCCCTTAATCCTATCCTGCCCCCCCATTTATTCTATTCTTTCTTTTGACCCTGTCCCTTCTCAGAAGTATTTGCTTCTGATCACCCCCTTTCCCAATCTGCCCACCTCTCTATAATCCCCCTACTCTCTTGTCCCCATCCACCCCTATTTTCCTGTAGGGTAAGACAGATTTCCACACCCAATTGAGTGTGTATGTTATTCCCTCCTTAAGTCAAATCCTATGAGAATAAGATTCACTCATTTGCTCTCACTTCCCGTTTCCCTTCCACTGTAAGAGCCTTTTGTTTTCTGTTTTTTTTTGTGAGATAATTTACCCTGTTCTACCTCTCCCTTTCTCCTTCTCCTAGTATAATCCTCTCTCACCCCTTAATTTTATTCTCCAGATATGACCCCTTCATCTTCAACTCACCCTGTGCCCTCTATCTATCTATCTATCCATCTATCTATCTATCTATATCTATATCTATATCTATATATCTATATATATATAGACATATAATTTTTTTTCCCTCCAACTACCCTAATACTGACAAAGGTCTCATGAGTTACAAATATCATCCTTCCATGCAGGAATGTAAACAGTTCAACCTTAGTAAGTCTGCTATGATATCTCTTTCCTGTTTACCTCTTCGTGTTCCACTTGAGTCTTGCATTTGAAAGTCAAGTTTTCTATTCAGCTCTGGTCTTTTCATCAAGAATGCTTGAAAGTCCTCTATTTAACTGAATGACCATTTTTTCCCCTGCAGGATTATACTCAGTTTTGCTGGGTAGGTGATTCTTGGTTGTAATCCTATCTCCTTTGCCCTCTGGAATATTATATTCCATGCCCTGCAGTCCCTTAATGTAGAAGCTGCTAAATCTTGTGTTATCCTGATTGTGTTTCCACAGTACTTGAATTGTTTCTTTCTGGCTGCTTGTAACATTTTCTCCTTGACGGGAACTCTGGAATTTGACTACAATATTCCTAGGAGTTTTTCTTTGGGGATCTCTTTCAGGAGGAGATCCGTGGATACTTTCCATTTCTATTTTTCCCTCTGGTTCTAAAATATCAGGGCTGTTTTCCTTGATCATTTCTTGAAAGATGATGTCTAGGCTCTTTTTTTCATCATGGCTTTCAGATAGTCCAATAATTTTTAAATTCTCTCTCCTGGATCTATTTTCCAGGTCAGTTGTTTTTCTAATGAGATATTTTACATTGTTTTCTAATTTTTCATTCTTTTGGATTTGTTGTACAGTGTCTTGATTTCTCATAAAGTCACTAGCTTCCAATTGTTCTATTCTAATTTTGAAGGAAGTATTTTCTTCAGTAATCTTTAGGACTTCCTTTTCCATTTGGCCAATTTTGCTTTTTAGGGCATTCTTCTCCTCATTGGCTTTTTAGACCTCTTTTGCCATTTGGGTTAGGCTATTTTTTAAGGTGTTATTTTCTTCAGTATTTTTTTGGGTTTCCTTTAGCAAGCTGTTGACTTGTTTTCCATGATTTTCTTGCATCACTCTCATTTCTCTTCCCAGTTTTTCCTCTACTTCTCTCATTTGCTTCTCAAAATCCCTTTTGAGCTCTTCCAAGGCCTGGGACTGATTCATATTTTTCTTGGAGGTTTTGGATGTATGAGCTTTGACTTTGTTGTCTTCTTCTGGTTGTATGTTTTGATCTTCTTTGTCACCAAAGTAAGATAATATAGTCTGACTCTTTGTGCAGCTTACTCATGATCCCAGCCAATTACTTGAGTTTTAAACTTTTTGTTAAGGTAAGAGTCTGCTTCCAATGTGGAGAAGGTACTGTCCCAAGTTTCGGGGGTTTGTACAGCTGTTTTCAGAGATATTTCTGGGGACCTGTAAATTTTCAGTTCTTCCAAGGTGGTGTGATAAAGGGCAAGGTGTTTCCTTTCCACTGCCGTAACAAGCTCCACCGCACCAGACCTCCTCCTCGCCCCAGGACTGCCCCTCAGAACTGTGACCCAGATCCAAGCAGGGGCACAGCAAGAGAATCCTGCACCAGCAGAGAGATTCCTGCAATCCCCGTTGATCAGCCACTCCCCAGAAGCTCACGAGGCAGCCGCCACCCTGGCATTTGTGGCTGAGACCTAGCTTCATCTCTCACCACAGTCACAGACTTTTCCCACTCACCTTCTAAGTTGTCTTTGGCGTTCCTGGGTTGAGAAGTCTGGAAACTGCTACAGCTACCTGCGATTCAGTCCTCTGAGGCCTGTTCCAGAGTCTCTGCGGCCTGCGCACCCACACCAAACTGCGTTCCTCTCCCCTCCCGGCACAATATACCTTTCCAATCAACCATCCAGGTTGTGTTGGGCTGGAAATTTGTTTCACTCTGTCTTTTTGTGGATTCTGCTGCTTTAGAATTTGTTTAGAGCCATTTTTTTACAGGTATTTTGAGAGGTTTGGGGGAGAGCTCAAGCAAGTTACTGCTTTCACTCCGCCATCTTGGCTCTGATTCTTGCAATATTTATTGATAGATGTCTATTTGCTGATCTGGAGGCCATATTCCTGTTTGTTATTAACTCTTCACTGTTGGTTTATCTGCTTATGCTCAAAGTCTCTAGCTGAATTTTCTTCTTCCCAAGATCTTTGGTAATTTTAGTCTTTTACCTATATTGTTTACTTTCTGACTGCTTCTCCTTTGATGGAAGTTTCCTTGGGGGTTAGACCTCAAAACCATCTCAATCTCCTCCCGTGCAGTGTCATTAATTCATTGTTCATCTGCTTTAGCCTTTTCCCCAGGTGACCTCTGGGTGAACAGAACTGGCTCCAGTTGGATGCTAGGCTCATTCAGGCTTAGTGGAATTCCACATAACCTCACTTGTGTGTCTTGCTCTAGTTCTCTCTTTTTCTCAGTTCTCTAGCTGATCTCTGTGTTCAAGTGTTCATCTTTTGAATTTCTGTGGCACTGGGAGGGGTGTGGGTGATGGAGTATGGAACTGAATTCTTTTGCATTACTGGAGTGTGTTGAGTGGTAAGTTCTGCTATGTTGAGGGAGTGCATTAGTGCCTAGTGAATAGTCTTTTCTCATTGAATTGTTTCCTCCTTTGGGTTCTTGGTGTACTAGATTGTGGAATGGATTTCTCTCTTGTGTGTAATTCCTAGTTTGGAGAGCATCAGAGAAAATGTCTTATCCTCAGTCTTGTTGGTCACATGTGCTTTTTCTACAATTTCTTTTCTATACGGTTGAACATACTTGTCTTAGTCTTTATTACAAAGGTATTGCTGTTATATACAATGAACATGTGTGTGTGTGTGTGTGTGTGTGTGTGTGTGTGTGTGTGTGTGTGTTGAAAGTAGATTTTATAGGTATCTGTAATACCTGGAATTCCTTCACCTTAGGTTCCATGAACTTAGGACCTCAATAAATAGACATTGATGAGGATTTAACATTATAAAAGGGTTGCAATGAAACTATTCTTGAAAATGAGTTCCTTTTCTGTAGGTGGGCTGTCCAGAAGCTGGACTCACATGTAACTTCTTTTCCCTCAGCCACTTGTATTTCTGCCCTTCCTCAAGAGAAGCAGCACCCTGTAGTCCTAACAGTAACACTCTTGACCGCTGAGCCCCGGGTGAGCTATGATTTCCTTTTCTTTGTTGTTGTTAATATCCTCAGATAGAAACTCTCAAGTTTCTCTGTTAAGACTAAGTTACATTTATATAGGACTTAAGAGTTTTAGTGTCCTGACATTCTCTCTGCATTTCTTTTTGCCCCTATAAACAAAAACACTTTAAAAACTATTTACACCAGCAGATACCCTTACCTTGCATCCTTCCCTTCTCTTGTCCTCAATGTTTCTGTGGAATTGTCCTTGGGGCAGCAGGAACATATTGTTTCAGGAGTTGTTGACGTTTGAAGATGTGGCCCTGTCTTTGACTCTGGAGGAGTGGGTACAATTGGACCTGCATCAGAAAGACCTCTACAGGAATGTAATGCTGGAGAATTATGAGAATATTGTCTCATTGGGTAAGAACTTCCCTACCTGCCTATTGCCTTATTAAAGCCTGTCCCTTGCTATTCTCTGTGTTCATAGCAATGATTATGAGCAAGGATTATGAGCTAAGGCTCAAGAATTAGTTCCCTAATTCTGTAGCCTCTGAGTTACCATAGGTAGGGAACATTGAGATGTTTGTGAGGTCATAGCAAGAAAATTTCTTTTCTCTCTACGTATGTGATAGTTCACTTATTTAAACCAGAGCTTCTTAAATTTTTTCCACTCGCCACCTCTTTTCACCCGAGAAATTTTTACGTGACTCCAGGCATATAGGTATATAAAATGGGTATACAAATCAGACATTTACTGATAATAAATCATAAAGCAATAAATCATTAAACAATTCTTTAGTATACATATAATATTACCGTTTATTAAAGATGAAAGCAAATTTGCATACTAATGAGATGGATGTGCTTGTTTATTTTTACATAAGGAATTAAATCTTGGTGGAATATTTGATACTGCAGGACGTAGAGCATCTTCAATATTTTTCAGAGTTGATCGATATTTTGATTTTATAATTGTCAGTGCTGAGAATGCTGCTTTGCATAAATATGTAGTACAAAATGATCGAAGTATGTTTAGGGCTATTTCAGAAATTGTTGGAAATTCTGTCCTAATCCCAAGCCAAAATTCATTTAATGATTTTGTATGTGCAATAAAAAGACTGCAATTCATTATATACAGTAGTCTTGAATCTGAGCCGAGGTGTTTCTAGCAGGGTTCATTGGTGTTGTGTGGCATGACAGCATAGTGCAAAGTTCACATGTTGTATATTCACAACCAAGGCTATAGTGAAGTTGTGCAATGTAACATGGGCCAAAAACACCTTGGATTCATTAAATATTTGATTTTTAATTAATTTTATGTCACATGTTCAGAAACCTTTTACTGTTGCCAAATTTTTTGCAATCCCCACATTCAGTTATGTGACCCCATATGGGGTTGTGACCCACAGTTTAAGAAGCACTGTTTTAAATAATAATCATTTATTAAGCACCTACTGTATTCCACAGTCTTTTGGACTGTGATTCTCAGAGGGTTGAAATGGGTAGCTTCTTTCTGTTGTTGTTTGGTCATTTCAGTTGTGCCTGACTCTTCATGATCCCATTTGGGGTTTGTTGGCAAAGATACTGGAGTGGTTTGCCTTTTCCTTCTCCAGCTCATCTTGCAGATGAGGAAACTGAGGCAAACAGGATTAAATGACTTGCCTAATGTCATACAGCTAGGAAGTATCTGAGGCCAGATTTGAACTCATGAAATTGAATCTTCCTGATTTCAGACCCAACATGCTGCATCACCAAGTTGCCCAGATTTCTTGTACTCTGCTCCACTCCTCATCTTATTTGTCAAGTGGGAAAGTTGTTTAGTCCCTTGCCACATGAAGGTATTTTTTCTGAAGGGAAAAAAAAAGAGATGATTAGATGGTGAAGTGGCTAGACTTGATGTCTAGGAAAACCTAAATTTGTACATTGCCTCAGACACTCCCTCGCTGTGTGACTTGGGCATGCTCTTTGTGACTTGGTTTCTTCATTAGTATAATAATAAGGATAATAATAGCACTTACCTCAATGAATTTACTTATGTAAAGCATTTTGTAAACTTTAAAGCCATATGTAAATGTTAACTATTAAAGAGGCCATAAATAGTTCTCTCCTTCTGCCCCAACTTTCCTAGAAATTTTATTCCTGGATTCCCTATGGATTCATTCCCCTTCCTGCTAGACTTCCTGAAATGGCCTCCTTGGATGCTTCCTTCTTTCTATACCTACCTTCTGAAGAAAAATTTTCCAACAGGGTATGGAGTTATCCTCTAACCTATTTCCTCTTATTAACAGGATTATCATTTTCCAAACCTGCTGTGATTTCCCAGTTGGAACGAGAGAAAGAACTATGGCTTTTGGATATTCAGGGAGCTGAGAATAGAGAGGTCTGGGAAAGTAGCAGCCCAGGTGAGTGATTGAGGAGACCCAATCAAGAGTGAAATAAGTAGTAGCTGACTAGTAGCATAAGTGAAATATTGGCTACATCATTAGTTCACCAAGTACCTTTTATGCTAGGTCACTGATAGGGAACAGTTGTAGGAGAAGAGCTCTCTTCAACTGACTTTCCATTTCTACAGTGCCCTCCCTGCACCCCAAATGGCATTACTTTTCTCTTAATTACCAATGAGTTCCTTTTAAAAAATGATGCCTTAAAAAAATCCAAGCTAATAGCCCATTTTCCCATATTTGATTGAAAAAATATTTATTGAGATCATACTTTGTATTAGCTTCTAGTTTAGTCATTCTGAAATCTTATTATGGCATAGAGGTTCTCCAAGACTTAATCTGACTAGCTAGTCCTGTCAAGCTGAACAGTCCAGGTATATGTGTTTTTTCTTCACTCAAATTCAGTGACTCATTACCAGAAAATTGGCCATCACATGATGAATTTTCACTGGCTACAGTTACTCAAGATACCACTAAGAAGTAAAAAGGTTGAGCTATGTGTTGGTGGAGAGAATCCTCATATTAATGAAATCATTACTATTTTAAAATATTAAAGTACTATGTGCTAGATGTTGTGGGATATACAAAATAATAAGACAAAATTCCTGCCCTTGGGTAACTTGGAGTTGCTTGGGGAAAAAAAGATATATACACATGGAAGTATTCAATATTAATCCAGGATGTCAACAAAATTTATTATAACTACATAGTCTTTTCAGGTAGGGCAGAGTCAGGAAGTACTTCTCACATTATGATAAACTGTGGTTCTTAGGGACAGAATGAGACATATTTTCAGACGTGGCCAATGAGTTGTCAATTGCTTAACTATGCTTTTATAAAGAAGGTCATAGAAGGAAAGGGGAAATGATCATGATGTAGGACATAAAATAGTTTCAATGAAACCTTAAAAAAATTTAAAAGAGACCAGAGACAAGTTCAGAAGGGGACACAAACAGGGCAGTTTTGTTACCTTTATATTAAATTTAATATGCACTTAAAAAAAACTGAGCATGATAGAAGTTGAGAGTTTTCCATACAATCCTTTTTATATATTGAGCCCTCTAGCTAATGAGACAAATTACAAGAGTTTTGGATGAAAGGAATAAAAAACTTGAAATATCAACATTTTGACAAAAAAAAATCAGTTTTATGAAGAGTAAGAATGGGACCTGGGACACAGGGAAAAAAAAAGAAGGAAATGTTTGGTAAACATTTTTGTGGGAGCTTCCTTTGCTGTTGTGCAGCAGAAACTTCTTGGTTTATTTTTACTCCTGTTATATTATAGTTTAACAAAAATTGTTTGAAAAAAACTTTCTGTTTAACAAAATAAACAAATGAATGTTGGAAATTAGTGTATTAAGGTTCTTAATAAAGTATTCTTGGAGTTTTACTTAGCTTCAGATGACTTTCTTTAGTTTAGCCCAGTTTCTCGGAAAGCATTGTTTTTATCCTAGGCTGTAAAATGGCAGAATGCCCTGGATAGAGAATTTATTCTATTGAAAAAAAAAAGCATGCAGTATTTATGATGTATCTGCAGGAGTTTTTGTAAATGTAGTTTTTGATGTCTTCGGTCACCCTGAAATAATACAAGAAAAGGTGTCCCCAGGCAATCTGGTGGAACAAATGCTTCAATAAATTTTTTTATTTCTCTTTGTTAACATTTTTGTTAGCTTTGTATATTAAAATGTTTGTGCTTGTTGATGGTTAAGTCTATATTAAAAAAGAAAACAGAAAAAAAAAAGTATTAAACAGTAGGCCTGGCTGGCAAAATAAAACCACATTGGTTTGTTAGACTCCATCTCTCACTCAAGATGCAAGCTGTCAGATGCAGAACTAGATGGATAGCACAAACAAGTATCTATCACTGGAGAAAGGAGAAGCACTGGAAAGCTAAAAATTAATGAATAAATGAAATGAATAATAAAGCAATGAAAAGACTAAAATTAGTCTAAGATCTTTACCTCTGCAGACCAATAAATATGTTTCTGCTAAGGATCATAATGTCATAGATTTAGAGCTGGAAGGTACCTCAGTGATCATTTAGTTCAACCCCTTCCTTTATAGAGAGGTATTAAGTGACTCATCCAGTGTGACACAGCTATCTTGTAGCAGATCCTGGACTCAAAACCAGGTCCTCTGACACCTAAATCCTTATCTTCCTTTTCTGCCACATCATGCTGCCTCTCAGGGTTAATGATCTGACCTGGGTATTTGTATTTGCTTCATCCAAGCTGTTAGAGAGAAGCAGGGTGATCTTCTCAGGAGAAACTTTTGTAGGACTTTGTAAGCCAGAGACCTCCATATTTATGGTGTTAAACCTTCTTTTCTAACTTTCCATTTATGTGTCAGTATTTTTCCCTGGGAGCCTGCCTTTTTGGGTCTGGGTGTAATAAGTCTTCTTTGTTTCCTAAATAATTGGAGTCTTGGGTCTAGACTCTGACTTTGAGACTCATTGGGTAGTCAAGGAATAAAGAGTACTGTCTTGCCTAGTCAGATAAGGAGAAGTCACCATTGATGAGAATTGTCCCCAGACTAAACTGGTTTGCTTCTTGTGAGGTACCCCATGTTGCTTGCTGTCTAATGTAGCACTTTGGGAAAGAGTAAACAACCTCACACAGGTTAATAATAGCTCATTTTTATATAGTATTTTAAGGTATACAAAGCACTTTTCTTGTAACAACCCTAATGATGTAAGTATTACATTAAATTACATCACCCCCACTATACAAATGAGGAAACAGGCCAGAGAGAATAAGTAATTTATTCACACAACTGATAGACTTGAACCTGGTCTTCTGACTACAACACTATTATACCCTTCTGCCACTCAGTTCGAAGCAGTATATTGTTAAGTGCAAAAGTACAAACCTCTTTGTTCATTCTTTTATCATACACTTATTTAACTGTTCCTCAATTCTGTGTTCAATCTATTTTCTTTGTCACCACCATCTTTTATTACTTCTCTTCATTCTAACAATCACATTTATTTCCCATTTTCTGCCAAACTTCCATCATATTTTCACCCTGTTAATCTTGTCCCTGAATTACTGTCTGACTCTACTACTAAATTTCTGCTAAGCACAAGGGTTGCTCCATTTAGGCCACCTTCCCCCTGCTACTCTGGCATAAGAGGAGCTAAAGTTGACCATCATTAACCAATAGCAACCCTAAACAGGCTGATATTACTCTAGCCTCTGGCTGATGAATTGGAACATTAGGCTGATTTAATTCCTGAATAAGGAGAGTTCTTCTAGAAATTTATTTTCTTCCAGGACAGAATTAGTTAACATTGGCCTTTTCTGCTTATTGTGTTAGGTGGTGAGACCAAGACAGCAACCTACAAGCCAGCCTCTAAGCGAGAGAGTTCTGAAGAATTTCATTCAGAGAGATTGAGAAAACCACAGAAGGAAGGTCCCCAATTACATACATTTGGAGAAGTCTTTGACCATCAAGGCAAATTAAAAAGTGTACAGGGAAGACACCCAGGGGAGAAACTAAAGGGAGAGAAGGAAACTCTCAGAGAAGTGACTATGAAGGATAAAAATAGTCTCACAGAAAAAAGATGCCAGCATTATAAGGAATATCAGAAAAGCTTCTGTCTAAAAGTTCCTACAGGAGACAGAAATGATAAAGGTGATGAACATGGCAGCAGCTTCAGTCAGAACTTGGATCTTAGTAAACATAAAGAAATTGACCCAGGAGAGCATCCTCACAACTGGAATGAGTGTGAGAAAAGTTTCATTCTTTCATTTGTTGAGCACCAACTTATCCCCACTAGAGAAAAAACTCATCAGCAAAGCATTTCAGTCTCCCGTGAAAGGAATTGCCAGAGAACTCATACAAGTGAGGGGCTTAATGAATATAATGAATGTGGAACAAGGCTTAGTTCTAGTTTAGTCCTTAATGATTCTCAGAAAATTCAAGCCAAGGAGAAACCTCATGTATGTGATGTCTGTGGAAAAACTTTCAGTTGGAGATCACGGCTTATTCAGCATCAAAGAATCCACACTGGAGTGAAACCCTTTGAATGTGAAGAGTGTGGAAAATTCTTCAGTGAGAAAGCATACCTTATCCAACATCAGAGAATTCACACTGGGGAGAAACCCTATATATGTAGTGACTGTGGGAAAGCCTTTAGTTATAGAGCGCAGCTTTTTCTACATCGAAGAATCCACACTGGGGAAAAGCCCTATAAATGTAATGAATGTGAGAAAGCCTTCATTCAGCGCTCAAGGCTTATTCAACATCAGGGAATACACACTGGAGAAAAACCCTTTGGGTGCAGTCAATGTAATAAATATTTTAGATATCGCTCAAATCTTTTTAAACATCAAAGAATCCATACAGGAACAAAACCCTACGAGTGCGATGAATGTGGGAAAGCCTTTAGACAGAGCTCACGGCTTATTCAACATCAGGGAGTCCACACAGGAGAAAAGCCCTATGAATGTAATCAGTGTAATAAATGTTTTAGTTATCGCTCAAATCTTTTTAAACATCAAAGAATCCACAGTGGAGAGAAACCATATGAATGTGATAAATGTGGTAAAGCCTTTCGACAGTCTTTTGATCTTAATAGACACAGGAAAATCCACACTGGGGAGAAACCCTTTGAATGTGATGCATGTAAGAAAAGCTTTAGTAGGAATTCGCACCTTATTCGACATCTCAGAATCCATGCTGGAGAAAAACCCACTGATGCAGTGAATGGCATGTAAAATTTTATTGGTTCTTTATTCAGTCTCTGCAGATTAATGCAAGGAAGAAAAACTGAAATAACTGAAATGGGAAACCTTTCATTGTAAGGTATTTACCTAATTCAGCATTTGAGAATCCAGAAAGAAAAAAAATTCTGAGCATGATATCATTCCTGCCTTGCTTCTTTAGTCGATCACTTGTCCTTGATACCTGTCAGCTTTGGGTATTAAATAGTGGTGCACCTTTGAGGCTAAGGGCAAGGAGAAGGGACCCATAAGCAGAATAGCTCCTTGAGCTGTGCCCTATGTATATCCATTTGGGGGCCATCTCCAGGCCTGATCTTGCCACTGGACCCAGATGGCTCCAGAGAAGAAGGTGAGGCTGGTGACCTTGCACAGCCCTCCTTCATTTAAATCTAATTCACTTACAAGTCATGGCATCATCCTCTTGATGTCATGGTCGTCTTCAAGAATGAAGGCCAAACACCACCTCCAAAAACAGTGTATACACATTTAGCTAACTTGTGAGAACTATGAATTTTGTTCCCTTGTAGTTGTCTCTACCTTTGGTGATTCTAGTTTTCCATTAATGTTTTCTGATTTCCCTTTGTTTAGAACCCTTCCTTTCCATGATAGGCCTCTAGTATGACCCCAGCCTTAATGCAAACTCATTGCTGTCTCACTCTCACCTCCTTAGTATGCCCTAGTCCAACACAGTGAAATTAAAGAAAAAAAATTTGCTTAAGGAACTTAAAAAAGAATATTAAATAAATCAGTGGAACAGAAACTTTATAAATATTGTGTTAGAGTGAAACGGAAGAAAACTGAATATTGCAGAGGCATTGCAAGAAAGGCCTTGCAGATGTTGTTCAACCTAGAAAATCTTGGAACAGAATTTAAAAACCTAAAAGATTTTAAAATCGAGGAAGAACAAGAAGACACAAGGTTAGTCTATTTACAGCCATAGACCTAATCCACAAAACACCACTCTCTCTCTTCTACAAATCATAGATCTTGAATTTCTGCTTTTATACACTTTTAAGTCTATACTAAGAAGGAAAAATACATCAACAATATGAGAAGTTTCAATGAAAGTGCTTGTCTTATTCAACATTAGAGAATCCAGATAGGAAGAAAAACTTGCACTTTTTAAGGAGCATTGTTTATATAAGAAAAAGGTAGTGAATCAGTAGCATACCATATAATTAGGTGAAAAGTAGTCAAGAAATTTTCGTTAAGGGCCTTATGAGTGATGAAGATAGAAAAATGGTTTGCATAGTAGAGTCGGGAGAAGGCAAGAGTTGAAACAGAAATGAACATTTAGACCAGCCATGGGAAAGCAGGAGTGCTGATTTATGATGTAATGACTATGGTTGTAACAATTAAAAAAAATGGTACACAAGCTACTGTAAACTCTTGATTTTTCCATATTCAGATTGGCATATGCACACAAAGCTAACAAATGGAAGAATGAAGTAATAAAAAAACTATCTCTTAATATGTCTTAGAACTAAATTTATTGCTGCCTTCTAAAATTTAGCATAAGGACTGTTGTGTAAGTGGGGATGTAGGTGGGAATAATCACTTGTGAACAAAACTGCCCCTTAATTTCTAAGGATTTACTTGTGTGGAGTGAATTGCATGTCTGTAAGTGGAGAGATTCCTGCGTATTATTACTTGAGGAGAAGACTGCTAACACCCAAACTATCCTTAGCAAACGTCCATTCCTTTCTCGTCAAAAAGGAAACATGTCTATTAGCATATTGGGCTTTCCAAGGAACAATGACCTGCTTAAATAGGGATGATGCTAGAATTGCTTATCTTCAGGAGACTGGCAGAAGATTGATGGGAATTCAAGTCCTCATTGTCACCAACCCAACACGCTAAAGACACAATTTCCCTGCCTTTTCAGTATTCCACTTGTTCAGTATTTTATGAATAGCTGCTTTTCTTTACTGTAATATTTTCTAATCTGCCTTGGTGAAGTATCAAAGTACATTGTCCTACATAGATAATCATGACTATGTCTAAGGAATGCATTTTAGTTTTTTCAGATCACGCTGAATCTGTGCTTTGATTTCCTTTGTTAAATCATATTTAATGGCGCATTTGACTCATATTAGGAGTGTAGCTTAAGAGACAACTCGTTTGAGAATCAGATTTTACTGATAAACTCCAGACATAACTGTGCAAATTACCTCTTTGAGGGATGCTTTTTTTTTTTTAATCTTGCTGCAGGAATTAGCACAGTTGACAGTTTTCTAAACAGGCATAATGACTTTGATTCCTATGCAGCTTCCTATGGAGGCCAAGACCAAAAACTCACTTCATCTTTCTTATATATACCTTTTAGGCAGGCAAGAATTATTAGGTAAGAATCAGGACAGATAGACATTTTACTAGGGTGGCATGGCTAAGCATCTGAATTAATGGAGAAGAAAAAGCCATGGTTGGAGTACCAACAAGGTTAACAAGCCAGATAATTAATTTTCTTTTTCTTTTTTTTTTTTTTTGATGAGGCAATGGGGTTAATTGATTGGCCCGGGGTCACACAGCTAGTGAGTGTTATGTGTCTGAGGCTGGATTTGAACTCAGGTCCTCCTGAATCCAGAGCCGGTGCTGTATCCACTGTGCCACCTAGCTGCCCCTAGCCAGGTAATTCAAAAGAAAATCCCAGGAATCGAAATGAGAAGGTTGAGTGTGAAGACCAAGTCATCAGGATGAGACAATATAGGTCAAGTAAACCTAGAATGAATGAAAAAAAATTAAGCCCTTCCTATGTACCAAGTATTTTGCTAATCACTGGGGATACAAATGCAAAAGTGAAGACAGTCCCTGCTCTCAGGGGACTCACATTCTAATAGAGAATGCATGTAGGAAAGTGGTGATCAGGGAGGGTGATTTTGGTATACAGGGATGGTGAGTACTATTTGGGAGTAGATTGACACTTCCTATTAGTAGTGACAGTATTGATTATGGTTCTGGAATTTGAGAGGCATGAGGAAGATAGGTACATAGCAAGGTATCTAGCAAGATGAAGAAGGAGTAGGGAATAAAGAGAAGCATGGCTGGGGCTTGCCTGAAATAATGGGCCTGATGAGGAACTCGTCAGACAACATCAGGGCCCACAGGGTGGGAGTTCCAGAACTGAAAGGGTTAAGAACTCTTAAGGTAAGGGCTGTGGTCTGCAAAATAGCTGTCAAAATGTCAAGGGAGTCCAATGAAAACAGTGATAGTTTTGATGTGCTTTGCATATTCTAACTATACCTCTTGATTTTTCTTAAGGAATTTGTAAAAATGCCAGATTGAACAATTTTAACTATTTCTATCAGTTGTTAGATTTGTTTGTTTGATGATCTCAACTAACTCTGATGTTGTATCAGTCTCAGGAGTTGGAAAGGATTTCAGAAACTGAGGACCTCAGAATCAAACCTATACCAGTACAAAAATGCACTCTGTAACTTCTTTCCAAAGAACTCATTTGAAGATCTCTAGTGAGGGGGTGACCTTTCCACTTTTGATTTTTTTTTTTTTTGGTTAGGAAATTCTCCCTTTTACCAGGCATGAAATTGTTTTTCTGTAACTTTTACCAGGATTTGTAATTGTGCCAGGGATATCGAATCTAATCCCACTCTTACTTAACAGTCCTTAGAATCCTGTCTGCCTTTGTCTGAACAGTGTTCATTTTGTCATCCTTCCTGAAATGTTACACCCAGAAGTTAATACAATATTGCAAGTATGGTCTAATCACAATTGTTTATTTAGTATTTTATTTTTCCCCAGTTACATGTAAAAACAGATTTTAACATTTATTTTTAAAACTTTAAATTCCAAATTCTGTCCTTTCCTCCCTGCATACCCTCACTGAGAAGGCAAGCAATTCAGATATAGGTTATACATGTGTAGTCATGCAGAACACTTCCATAATAGTTATATTGTGAAAGAAAACTCTAATCACAATTATTGTTTAGTCAATTACTCTTGTCCGACTTTTCGTGATCCCATTTGGATTTTCTTGGCAAAAATACCGGAGTGGTTTGCCATTTCCTTCTCCAGATCATTTTATAGATGAGGAAACTGAGGCAAATAGGATTAAGTGACTTGCCCAAGGTCACATAACTAGTAGGTGTCTGAGGCCAGATTTGAACTCAGGTCCTCCTGACTACAGAGCCAGAGCTCTATCCATTGCACCACCTACCTTCCTAGAACAAAGATTTTCCTTTTAAAGAAGCATCCTTTCCTTGAATCTATTGGAAATTCATGAATTTAACTAGGTCCTTACTGCTGCTGCTTGATAGTCCTACTCTACTTTTATTGACTCTCTAAACTAATTTCCATAGTAACGTCCACCTTTTTCTCAATTAGGCTCCCAACTATACTTTTACACATATAGCAGTTAACTTAGTCATTTCAGAGAAGATTGAGGCCATCTGACTTGTCCCTTAATTCCATTTTTCCATTTAAAACTTCTCAGCAACACTACCCATTCTCCCACCCTTCCTTCATAAGAGGATGAGGTAGAGCTACTACTTGCTTCCTTATTTGTGTTATAGATACTATCACCTCTCATCTCTACCAGTTCTTATTCTATCAGTCATCCCCTCTTATTTATTTTCTTTTTTTTTTTGGTAAATAGATTTTTATTGACTTTTTATATCACCTATATTCTTCCCCCCTTTCAGAGAGCCATCCCTTATACCAAAGACATTTTAAAAAAGAAAAATGGGGGGAGGCAGGGCAAAGTCAAGATGGCAGAATAAGAACCAGTATTTTTGCTTTTCTCTACCAAGACACTCCACAACAACGAGAAAGGTGCCAAACTAAATTCTGATCAAGAAAACTAAAAGAAAGTCACTATGAATCATTTTTCCAGCCTAGCATGGCTTGGGAATACAGAGAGGTCTGCAGACACTGGGGTGGGGGTGGAGGGTGTCTAGGAGCACATTGCAGCAACAGAGTTGACAGAACAAGTGGAAGCAGTATGGAGATGGCAGCAATGGTGGGTAACAGACTGGCACCTAAAGATAGCAAGGGGACTGAACTCCTGGGCAAAAACATCCCAAGAAATCCCTGTACTAGCACTGGGCACAGGAATGGTTGCCATCTGGCAAGTGTCAGCAGTTATTCTGTCCTGGGTGGGGAGCAGCAATTGCAGCTATGAGAGACTAGGAGTTTTCCAGTTGTAAGGAACAAAGAACAAATTCCAAAAACATAGCTCTGAGCCCAAGAGCATTGTGGGAACTAAGTTCAAACCTTTAGTTCTATGGAATTTGCATAAAGCTTGCAGTGAAATGAAACAGAGCAGGAGACCAAAACCAAGGAGGGTGAGGGCAACTGTTCAGGAACCTGAAGAACCTCTCAGTGGGCTATAATTGAATCCAGCAG